GATTTCACTAGTGATCTTTGAAAACACAAAGGAGAAAAGGGAATAAAAAGCACCGTCCTTTCAGCACCATCCAAAGCCCAGCAGCGCGCCACATCTCATCCCAGGACAAGCTCTGGCATAAGCTAAAAGCAAATACTTAGTCGGCCCCTCACGATTTCACTGCCTTGGCAGATCCACGTCCGCGGGTATCCCAGACCCTCTCACTTTGCACCTTGTTTGGCAGGATCAGAAGGAACCACTTGGTTTTACAGTACCAACTAGACCAATGAGACACAGTTATGGTACTCAGCTCGACAAAAATAAGCTCCTCTTGTCTCCTGAAGGGCCAACAGTAAAAGACACAAACCTTAAAAAGCAATTTACACATGAACTAAACTTTTCCACTAACGGAAAAGCTAATTTCATCTACACCAATAGCAGAGAACTCCAAAACATTATTTTTAGAGGGTCAAAGCACCAGTTCCCTTGTGGGACAATCCTACAAAATTTTAAACAGAGGAACCAAAAATAATTCACATCAAATATACTCACTTCTTCCTCAGGTATCCTCAGCAGTTTTACCAAAATCTACTTTTTTTTTTTTACCAACGTCCACATCACAATTCTAACGATGCCAATGCTAGCTCTGCCAGGCAGGTGCTGTACGGCACTAGCATAGGCACAGCAGCTTCAGGCAACAGTCTCCTCCTGACAGATCAGAAAACAAAACGGGATTTTCAGCAGAAACATGGAAGGTATCACGTCTGGGAATCTCGCAAGGTCTAGACAAGTTTCATTTTGTTCATCAGCCCATCGCTGGGAAGTGCTGGTCTACAGAATAACGCTGAGTACTAAAACAGTGCTGGGGCCCACACTACTGCAGAAACCAAACTTCTACGGGAATACTTTAAATGTTTCAAAACACCATTACAAAGGGGTTAAATCCACCTAATCCAGCCCAGGGACGGTAACATTTACCTGCCACAGGCACTGTGCAGCACTTTCCGTGCATAAAGGTCCTCCAGCTGCGCGTGATGGGATTTCTCGGTTCCCTGCTGTAACACAGGCGCTGCTGGGACAGAAACGCAGCGCCAGCGACCTCGCTGAGCCAGGACCTGAACTTTATTTCAACCCACATCTGCTAAACCAGAACAACTCCTTCAGCCCAGAGCCGGCTGAGCTCTTTTCCACAGCAAACAGCAGGCTGGAAAAGCCAGCCCCCACGAGGGGATGCCATCCGCGTGGTCCTGGGACGCAGTGGTCAAGTGGATTAAGCGAGCTGCACGCTGCTTTGGCCTCACATCTCGAAGCCTTGTCAGGCTTTGGTTGGGGGTGGGAGAGAGACCCTACCAAAGCCCAATTGCTTGCCCTGATGGAAGGAGCGAGCCCCAGGGAGACAGATGCTGTACCCCGCTAAACCAGCGAGAGCTGCGTACGGAGCAGAAATTCCCTGGCACAAGCATCTTCCAAGGAGGATCTCGGATGAAAACCCACAAAGCACCCTCACAGCCCACAGCCACGGTTGATGGGTACAATGTGCAGAAGCGTATGTACAACAGCCAAGTAAACCCTCAGGAGAGCAAAGCTCTAGCCTGACAAGTACTCAACTTATTCTCAGCTCTTACACCAGCCCAGGCTACCGGGGATCACTCCAAGCAAAGGCTGACGGGTCAGCCCTGGGACCGACACGCTGCTGCCAGCAGAAACGGGCTCACGCTTCCAGTTTGTCATCTGCACAAGAACTGATGGGATCCTGCACAGAAAGGGGACTCGGACAGTCGATCGCAGGCACGGACCAGGCAGCTCCTGCAGCACATCACTGCGGAGCGGGGCCATCACATCACCGGGATGTTTTGGAAAGTCTCCCTGGGTTTCGGGCAGAAGCTGCTTTGCTGTCTGGGAAAGGGACTTTCCCAAACTTCATCCTCCCTCTCTCTCTCTCCCTGTGCCTAACCATTAGAGTGTGCTAGGACTTGGTTTCAAATGTATGTTTAAATAAGCACATCAAAAAGAAACAGTTAATCCCCCTAAAAATGAGATGCATTCACATGTCTTCTGACTTCCTTCCAGTGCTGCTGTAGCCGCAGGAACACTGCTCACTACAGCCTGCAAGCAGCGAGAAAGTGTTTATCCTGCACCGTGGGCTATTTCTTTTCTCTCTCCTCTTTCCGCAAAAAGGCCCTTTGCTGTCTCACAACAGCATCCTCAGTCACAGCTTGAAGCCAGCCGCCACTTCCCAGCCCCGGCGCGAGAGCCTGTCCTGACATTTGTAAACTTCTGTTTTGAACAACAGCTCAGCACAAAACTTAACTTGTATAACCTAGGCTCCAGGCCTGGCCCCTTTTCAAACCTACCCGGCATTCCCCCAGCCGTACAGAGACACCCACACAGCCTCCGAACTAATTGAATTTTAATGAGAGGAAGTCATTTTTCCACTGGAAGAATGTTGTGCTAGAGAGAAATATTTTGAAACTCCTCTAACCTTTCCTGCCAGGCTTCTCCCGCAGCAGAGTACGAGCGAGGCAGTCCCCGCCTGGGCGCTCGACTGATGAACGCAGCAGAGCCGCTTCGCTTGCGACCCCAGCTAGACCTGGAGCTTAAATAATTACAACTTTCAAAACAAAATAAAAAGCGTTTGGGCTTTTATTTTATTTCAGTCCTGACAAGGAGAATATAAATTCCCACTGCCCAGAGCTCCTGCTGATCCATGCTGAAACACAGCCTCAGCCTTCCCCAACGCTGCCACCCATCCCGCTCCCACCTAACCGGGTTATTGTAATTTCCAGCAAAAGCAACACGCGCATAAAAGCCAGGCGACTCCACGGGGGCAAAAAGCACTGGGGAGCATCTTGTTAGCTGAGGTTTGCAGAGCAGTTGCCTACAGGATGGCAGCAGCTTCATCTCATCGTTCTGCATTCAGACCAGAAATTATCATGTTTCTGGGAACACATAACTTTAACAGTTTACACCCATTTCCCATTGTCCTGAGCCACAATTTTCCCTACCCCGTTTTTGCTTAGGCTTGCAGATTGCAGAAAGAAGAAAGGAGGAACCAAAGGAAATTAAGTTGCTGAGATATGAAGGAAATTAGGTTATAGTCCACTGCCTTCATGAAACCTATTAATTACATTCAGTTTAAAGCCGCTAGTATCCTGATTAGCATGTGTGTGAATACCCTGAAACCCTCTTTGTTTGTTGAGAACGACAAAAGAAAAAAGGACAAATACCAGAACTGATTTTTTTTTTTTAAATATATATGCTGTATAATATCAGTACATATAATATAAGACAGAGGAGAAAAAACACTTGCTAATTGTCCAGTTCTCAGTAAGTGCCTGGAATGATCTTACAGCTGCTTCTCGTGCTCAGACCAGGCAACAGGCTCCAGCAGAGGGGAACGCTCGCTCCGTTTTACCCAAGAGCGAGCAGGTTTCACAAGCCCTCCGAGCCTGTACCCCTAGATAAATCATTTCCAGCAAGGGAGCTGGTGCCAGCCCCATGGGAAGGGCTAACAGCGGAGCCGGGGAGCATTGCCACCCAGAAGCGTGCGTTCCCTTCCCGGCAGGGGAATCGGCAGTCCTGACTCCTGGTGAGAGCTACAAGGCACCGCAAGCTTCAGGGGCAGTTATGGAAACTTTTCATTTTGCAGAGTAGCACAACTGCAGGTTCTTATCAGGTTTGGATGCGATACCCAGTTCTTTAAGTGGATCTACTAGATCCCCGGGCGCAGCGGCTCCCCAGAAGAGCTCACCGCTTTATAGAACAACTCCACTTAAAATACGGCATCCAGCGCGACTGCTGGAATTTTTGGCAGAACGTCCAACGCTTGCGAAAGACACTCCAGTGCCCGTTAGACCCAGCTTTTACTTTCCGTTTTAATTGTTAAACTTCCCAGGAAATGTCTACTCATTTAATACAATCTAAAGATTCAGCTCTAACTCTGTAACTGAGATTTTTGGCAGCAGCGTTCAGTCCGTGCATTCGGCTCTGTTTACAGCAGAGCAGCTCCCAGATGTTGGTAATGTTAAACAGACTGGAACTTTCCTTCCGAGTGACAGCGCAATGCAGACGAGAGCTAGCTTCACTGTGCCCATCCCTTTGCTAGGTTGGGGAGGCCCATGAGATACAGCTCTTCCTCCACATAAATGCAATAAAAATAAGGAGAGAGAGTCAATAGGTCTTCGTTTACACTCCATTGCACTGGCGCTGATTTTCAGGGAAGCAATTCTATCTCGCAAGAAAGATGAGGGACGAGATTCTCATACATACGGAAGCCTCAGAAGTATGGCAGACCACAGAAGTTGAGATTGTTCGTGAAATGCATATATTAAACTAGCTGCTAAACTACGGAAAGAACTTCTACCATATGTGCCATATCTATAAATAATCCTCTATCTCTCTGCTTAAATCAGAGGAGCTCATGGGAACATTCCACTCATCACGATTTTGGTTTGCTTTTCAAAAGCAGTCGCTGTGTGGGAGGGGACAGGGCTGCCAAACAAGCTGCAAGGACAGTCCCCTTATGTCATGGTACAAGAAAGCAAGAATCAATGGCCAGCACATGGGAAAAGAGCAAATTCCTATAGCCCCAGAGCAAACTGTGACTCGCAAGGGAGCTGCTTTCCCCAGCCTTCATTCACTGCCCTTACAACATTAAATCATAAACAGGATGAATGAACACCCTGTGAGCCCTTCCCATGCCAAGTGAGCCACGAGTGCAAGAGCTACAGACCTACAGAATCCCACTGCAGGGGCTGGCGTAGAACCCCAGCGAGAGCATGAAACCAAAGAACCAGAGGAGCTCACTCCAACAGGTTATCTGACCCACCGTTTTCATCGTTACTACAGAAAGTATTTACCTACATGAAACAAACTTTAAAAAAATTAAATTGCATACAACAGTGTTCTGTTAAAAAAACCCAATATAACTCTTAAAAATGAGCTGTAAATACCTTGTCAACCAGAACCCAGCTCATCATCTCTGTGGAGCATCTCCAGAGCTGTTCATTGTCATGACTTACCTCAAAGACTTCCTCATCCAATATCCTTGTTCCAAATACAATGATGCCATTGACATCAATGATAGGATGGTCACTTCGCTCCAGGAACTTGGTTATCTTCTTTTTACAGTCCAAAATCAAAGTGACATTTTTCTTCTGCACACTGATAGCTACTCTGTGCCACCTAGAAGACGACAGTCCACAAATGCGTTAAACAGAGCCTTGGGCTTTCAAGAACAAGCTAACAATTGTATAACAATGAAACTTTCAGAAACTGGTGTTCTGCAAACCTTCATGCTAGCCATCATCTGCAAACACATGAAAAGCATCCTTGGGCAGACCCTAGAGATGTTGTTTGAAACGGCTGTATTGACAGATGATGCCATTCACTTCTCATCCCTCCAAACCAGGTAGGGGAGTGCCGGCAGAGGAGGAAAACCCCACCGATAACCCCCTGGGCATCCCCCTTTTCCACCCTCCTTGTGTCCTGCAAAAGACTCGGTGTGGATTTTGCAAGACAAACTAATTTCTTAAGGCCCTTTGCAGCAAAAATCAAGTGTTCCTATCCCCGTAAGTGTCAGACAATCTGCGCGACTGGTACGTGATTCACGCTTTTTATACACGCACAATTTAGTCACAGGGCAAAGTTTAAGAGCGGGACACTTGGCAGTAGTCAAAGGTGCATATATACATTTATATATACAACTCCTATTTTACACAACGTTCAACATGCTGGTATCCATACAAACAATGTACTGGTTTGTTTTTTCCTTTGTGCACAAAATTTCACTTACTTGCCATCTGCTAGGTTAATGCCTCTAAAGAGAGGATAGTCTTCTGGGCCTGGCTTTCCTGTATGGTCTTCATACAGGAATACAGGAGATCTACCCATCTCCACACCAATTTGCTGGATCCCTTGCTCATTGTAAATTGAGATCAAGAAGGACTGACCTCCTTTCTTCGCTTTTACAGTGGTTAGAATGGAGAAGTCCTCTGGGAATGGGGAAGCTGGAGTGAAAAAGCAAAGAGGTTAGCCAGGTTTCCTTGAAAATTAATCCCTATAGAAACGGTCCTGTTGTCTAACGACCCATGGGGAGACCAGCGGTTTATTCCTCCAGGTGCACGTGCATCAACTCTAAAAATTTATATTGGGCAGCACCTTAGTTACCAGGTGAAGATCTGGCTTTTCCCCAAAGCCTACTCTGATATGGGGTTGGGATGGGTTGCAACCCAAAGTAGACTGCACCAAAGCCAGTGTAGAGCAGTGTCCCCCAAGGGCTACCTGCTCTAAGGGCACATTAAAAAAAAGAATATCACAGAGAGAACCGAGCATCTTGGAGGCTCATTCATTTATGATCAGAACCTTTTTCCAGCCTTTCTGGCATTCCATCACAGAACCAAAAGCCACCCCACATTCAAATGTGCAAGCAAAGGATAGCAAGGACTCTGCTGTTTTGGGATCAGACCATACCACTGGGGAAACAGGGGTTTTGAAAAAAAAAACTTTTGGTTAAAATCTGTATTATTTGTACCTAACCCTTAGTGTGCCCTAGAGCTTTTTCAGGAGGCAAGGCAAAAAAACTGTTTCATATATCATGAGGTCCCCAAATTAACTTGTTAGAGGGACAGAGGAAATTAAGCATCCCCTGTCAGTTAGGCCCACACAATATTGAAGGGTTTTATTTAAGGAAGTAGGGAAGTTTTGTCTATTCCAGGTGAGAACAGAGCATTCTGTGGCTGTGGCTTTCAGGGTTGGTGCAGACAAAAAAACCCCCTGAAACCAGACATAAATCTGGCAATCGGTAGGAGATGCTAATTTGTCTGCATATTAAAAAAGCATCCAACAAATTTCCTAGCTTTTTCTCCAAGCAACCCTGTCTGATCTCAGGTGATTCGTGTCTGTATTTTTGCAAGGTTTGGAGGATTAAAGCCATTGAAGTACAGAGCAGGTACGGTCAGTACGGAGGCAACGCTCTGCACAGGGGAAGGGTCAATCCCCAGCAACGCCAATGAACCCAGTCGAAGTTTCAAGGAAATACGGGCGTCAAGTCACACCCTGGGCAGGATACAACCCGTTGGGGTTTTCTCTGCCATTCAGACCGGAAAGATAAGCTCAAACTGAAAAGCTTGGATGCACATCCCAAACAGGACACCTCAAAAACACCAGAAGCATTAGTAAAGGAGCTTTCTTGATCAAATTATTATTGGAGATGGGACCTACTGAATCAGAGGGCACCTACAGGGCGTAACCTCCGCAGATGCTGCAGTTCAGCAGCGTGAGACTCGCAGGGTATCTCTCCTTTAAGGTCTGGGCTTTCAAAAACAAGGGTTGCATTGTACCACTGAGTATCTGGCTTGAGAAATCTTAAACCCCGGCAGGGCAGAGCGAAGTGGGGCAGCCCCGCCGCGGGCACTGCGGTGTGCGTGCTGGGACCATCTACGTGTGTGGCAGCCGGCGGCGTGCAGGGAAGGGAACAACACAATGGATCATTTTTAAACTGCAGATCCGCAGCCATATAAAACCACAAAAAAAAAAAGTCAAGCTCTGTGCCCATAGGCTTCAAATAGATTTCCTTCACTCCTTTAGGCTTCGCTTAGATGGTATCTCACAACTGCAGAAGGGATTTTGACCCAGGGAGGGGACCAGGAACATGGGAGTGGGGAATTCTTCCAACCACAGCAAAGCTAGCAAGTTCAAACACAAAGAGATCATGAGCTCACCCTCTCCTCTTCTGCCTGGGAGTTGCTTTAACTTTTTTTAAGAAATGAACGTTTAAAATGCATCTAGCTGCCTCGCACGGGGCAGCAGAGGAGGCACAGGCAGGCTGGGCTGCAGCAAAAGTGAGCTCTGCTGCAAACAGCTTGTGCAAGCAAAGACACCTGAGAGTGGGACATCTGAGGGTGCATACAGAGACACACTGTGTTTGCACCAAATTAATATCCCTCACCTTAGTTAAATAACATTTGGAAAGAAACATAAAGCAGTATTCTGAACTGCAGACTCACAGTAATTAAATGCCATGATTATAGCCTGATTTCCCCCAGGAGACGGACCCAGATATTTAGCAAAGGCAGGCATCCGATTATTGTGCCTCCCATAGGATGCACTGAGCTTTATCTCCCTCCTGCTGTACACGAATCCTCCTGTAGCAATGAATCAAGACCATACGCCTTCCTGGTTCCAATTACAGGCTACAGTCTTGGGCCTTTTATGTAAAATAGTTCATGTCCAAAGTTTCATTATGAATCCACAATATAGTACCTTTCAACTTGGACAAGCTGCCAACTCATTAAAAAGCTGCTTTTAATTTTTTTTTCATTATTATTAAAATGTCTCCATGGTAATACGAGTTTCTCAACCCAAATAACCATAATGGATGAATTATAGCTGACATTACTCTGTTACTACTCTGCTGTCCTGGCAAAATAACAATGCCTTCACTGTCATAGCTAGAATTGACCCAGGCTATTAAATGATGTATGAAAATGCATCCACTCAGAGAGCAATACTAATAAATACATCATAATAAATATACGAAGCACATACAAATTGACCCAAATCCCCCTAAAGACAATGAAGACACCACTCCAACAACGGGTTTGGGATTAAGCCCTTATATTCGTTCACTTCTTCAAATGAGCTCACGCTGAGAGTTGTCACGCATCCATCTCTTCACTTAACGGCACTGCGCTGATGCCAAATTTGGCTCAGCATTGCTCCTCTACCCCATGGCCAAGTCCTTTCCAATTCACTACACGCAACTTCCTTGCAAGGCAGCAAAGGGTTAAGACCCCAATTCTGCAGATGGAGCCATGGAAAGAGCCAAGGAGGGAAAGATCCCCCACCCGCCGATGCCATTAGCTTCACTCGAGCAGACTGCATCCATGGTATGCCCCAATATGCAAACCAGGGGACTCAGGCTGAGTTTCTTCTTTCCCAAGCACCACAATCAGGGATTAAAGGTTCTTGTGCAATCTCATGGTCTTCAAAACAGGGACAGCTGGGACCTCTTCCTAACCCAGATCCTGCAGGTGTATCCAAACACAGCCTAAAATACAGAGCCCTGCTGCTGAGCTGGGAAGGACAGGAAAGCTTTAGCTGCTTATTAGCAAAAAAAAAAAAAATCAGCAGAAACAATGAGCTGATCCAGTTCCTGACACAAACACAAAGCAGATCTGTTGTGTGAGGTGGTGTCATTTCCAGAGCCACTTTTCAAGGAAAACAGCTCTTCAACAGTGTCACCAACTTCTGGCCTTTTTCTTCATCTGAGAAGACTCTCCATTTTGGAATGGCTTGTTTTCCTCAGAGATGACTGTTCAAGCTATAATAGAGATTTTTGAGCTCTTAAATATATACGCAGACACCCACAAGCAGTGTGGAGAATACAGTTTGCTAGAAGAATGCAAATGACATTTTCCTGGCTGCTACTGCAAACTTTGCCTTTCTTGCCTCTGCTGGAAGAGCACGGTTTTGCTGGGAAGCAGAACTTATTTAGGGAGCAAGGACAAAGAGCATCTCAGCAGATTTTCTCACTCTTGTGGGCTTGAAAAAAAAACCAGACGAGCATATATATATATATATATCTTGTTTTGCTGGCTGTGTTAGCAGAATGCAAAGCCCATAAAATTACCATCTTCGAAAAGCACGGACTTCTAATTAACACTAAATATTATGTACAGTGTACATTTGCCTAGGGTGCTCTATAGCAAAGAGGGAAAGTTATGCTACAACCCACCCGCCTGTTAACGTGAAATCACTAAAACCACATTTTTCCTGGTACATTGCACTGCAATTACTTTGTTATCTTTATCTCTTCTCTCATTCATTTGGTGCTTTAAGCTGAAGTCACATCCAGTTATGGAGATATACCCAGAAAACATCTGTTGATCTGATGGAAAGCACTGGGGGTTCTTCACTTTGCTCTTCCCCTCCCATTTCCTTAGCAAGCAGCAGAGAAGATCCAATGATTTTGGAAGTCTCCAGAGAGCGACAGAGCTGCTTCAATCACCCCATGGTTGTCCAGATGATGAAATGATTGAAGAGTTGCTTGATGACACCAAGGAAACACCACCCAGATCTTCTCACCAAAGGAAGACAGTAGATGCAAACCAAGAACTCAACGAGGACATACAAGTAGTAAGGTGGGACAAAAGCAAGATGATCTCCTACAATGCCGAGTTCTGTCCTGTGACCACGATTCACTTCTGCATGCTGTCTTGCTGGGTTAACTTTTGTCATAAGTGGTGTCATCCAGACTCCTTGCTTCATTAGTTAGCCAGAATACTCCATCCTTATTTTTATATCTTGGGGCCACCACTGTTTGCTGGTTTCCACAACACAAAGGCGATCAGGCAAGATTTCACAGTGGCTACAGCAACTACTGGAAAGCTCTCAAATCCACTACAGTCATATATTCCAAACTGGTACCGTTTTCTTCAAGCATTTCTGAGCTTGATGATACCAGTTGGGCCAAAACTTCAAGTCATTTCAGAAACACGGAAAGAAAGTATGTGAAAGCGGTTAAACACACGCTGATTGAGGTGATCTTGCCTTGGGACAGATGGACGGACTCAGGGACCACCGCAGGGCCCTTGCAGCCTGTCCCTGGGATGAATATTCCCCATATCCACAGGCACAATCCTCCAGGACATGAAGACGCAATCCAGCAGAGGGGTGCAATTGGGCACATGATGATATTATCTACAGTCAGCAAGGCCTGTCCTGCCCTGGGCAGCAGTAAAGACAAATACAGGCTCTATTCTGCACTTCTGCAGACATTGAAGCTGGGCTTTAGGCAAAGCTGAGCAGGTCCCTCACCACAAGCTGACCATGCGATGGAGGGCTACCAGCCTACAGCCCTGGCACAGCTGCTCTCATCTTCAGGTCAGCCTTTCAGTCCATACGCAACACACAGGGTATGCTCCTGCTCACCACGGATTAAATATAATTCACCTGCTTATTGTCACAGCAGGGAAATAATGAAGACTGAACATAACCTTAGTGATAACACATGCAATGAAGGAAATACAGGACTGGAGGATGCAAGTGCATCGGCAGTCCAGCCTCAGAGTCCTCATTTAGGCCATTGACAGGCTGGGTCTGATAGATACAGCATGTTAAATAAAAAGCATTGGTAGTGGCATGCCACATTACCTCTGATTTAGCTAATGTGTTTTGTATCATTAATTCTCTCACAAACACCAAAGGAGAATGCATCTCTCTGCTTGGCTTAAGTCATCTACTGCTTCACAGATGAGTTACACACAGCTTCCTTCTGCCTCACTGCTAAACCTTCCTCAAAGGCACCGTCCTCACCAAACCTAGAAAGCCCCACCACGCCTACTCCCTGCATCCCCCCATGTAAAACAGGAGTACAGCAGTGCTCCTCTACGCCTTGGGAAGGAAGACTTCTGATGGTGACCACATGTTCGAGACTGAAGCTCTCAGGCAGTGAGTAGTTTGGGTCTATAACGGGTCCAGTCTTTTTAGGAGCACGTTTTACTCTACAGTAGTGACTGTCCCTCGGCCTGAAAAATTAAAAGGCTCCAGTACATCCTCAGTGACAAATGAAGCGGTCAGCAGCCCACACGCTCTTCAAGGGCTTTGCGAACTCCTGCATCTTAGTGGCTTTCTGTAACGAACCTCCAATTTCTTCGAACAACTTTTCTTGGGACATCTGTTCTTGTGGGGCAGTCTATTATTTTTATATAGTGATTATTTGTGTTATGAGAGACACCACAGCCACAGAATAAGACCCTACTGTGCTTGGCACTCCACAAACGCGGAACAAAACACAGTTTGCGTTCCTTTGCATCTTCCAAGTCTCTCTCCCCAGCTGGATGTCACTGTGATAATGAGACAGTAGAAACTTTCTAATATAGGAGGGAACAGATGTGGGCATTGGCCACATCATCTGCAGGGAGACCCGCCACCATGTGCAAACGCATGATAAAAGAACAGCTTACTGCAGTGTTATTCGATGGTTGAAAGTTTGCAGCTCCCCGAAACAGCAGAATCGCTCCCTGCCAAGAGAGTGCACTTGGAAAATAAAGGACTTACACAGTGTCCTATATGTGCCTGCAGAATCTGAGAAAAGGATCAGATATATCCGTATGACTAATAAAAAGCTGTGGACTCACCAGGATACAGCTGCTTTGTCGGCGCACTAAGCTGAGCATCTTTTGTTACTCTATAAGCAACATCTGCTTCTTTCGAAGATCTTCTGCTTGTGCAAAACCCTGTTGTTTTTGTTATACCATCAGGTAAATTATGAAAATCTAATACCTTCAAGAGATCTGCAGGTTCAGCTGTAAAAAGAAAAGGAGAAAACAAGAATTAGCAGGCAATAAGACTGGCATTTGCTCAGATCCAACTCATTATTAGCCTGCCTCACACAAATCATTCATCACAACTTTAAAAACAGATGAAATGTTTTCAGTACATCTGTAAATACGACGTTAATACCAGCTCCAAAGCTAGGATGCTGCACTGCTGGTCAGAGACTAATTCAACGCAGAGGGGAACTGCTGATCAGCTGTCTGCACGAGGGCAGAAGGGAGAATATACTGTTTTATTAGCTATAGCAGTAATATTTTCTGGATGTCTTCACCCAATCTCCATCATTCAAGTGCATCCTGAAGATTAAGCATTAGACAGGAAATTCATAATTGGAGAGAAAGGCTTTAAATCAACAAGTTGCCATCACGCTTAGGTTGGTTGATCCAAAAAGTTGTTTTGAAGCAAATACCTGAGCAAGCTTCCCCAAAGGATTACACACACACCCCCCCCATGCAAAACCACCACATATAAATTCACACTACCTAGGGTAACAGGTAAACCCACAGCCATCCCTCGGGGGTACAAGCAAGTTTTGGCAGAGCAGCATCCCAGCACTGTTGGTGCTGCCCGCAGGCTCGCCCAGACCCCGGGAGGGTTCGTGCCCAGCGTGTAACGCTGCCCGGGGTGCAGGCAGGCGGCACGGGGCAGGGTGCAGCACAACTCCACTGCAGGCAGCCAAGTGCCCCCCCATAATTCAGCCCAGGCAAGTCCCATCAACTATATTCCCCTTCTGTCCCCCCACGACACACAGATTTCTGCACAGCTGCCGGTGCATACAAGGGTGCAGCTGGACTGGCCAACAAAACACACACACTTCACAGAAGAGATAAAATCCAGTTACTCCCCCAGCTTGGAAAAAACTCATTCTGGTTTCTGTGGCCTCATCACATCGTCTGTCCCTTCAGCTGGGAATTCAGGGCAGACTACAGAGATGGCAGCTCCATCCTGGCCAGGAACAGGCTGGGGCAGGGCACAGCCCAGCCACCACCGTGCCCCATCCATCATCCCTGTCCCCCTCCTCAGGACAGGGCAGTGCCTGGGCATGCCTCAACACAAGCTGCACGGGCATTTTCACTAATGACACGAAGCAAAAGACTCCTTTCCTTAACAGCCCTCCTCGACCACATCCCATTAGGCTCATATCCTGACCGCGGCTCTCACTGCTTCAAACATTAAACTAGCTAATGGAGAGCGCTTGTCTCAGCCCAGCACTCCCTACACCAGCAAAGGTGGGGCTGGTTCACCTCCCGATGGTCAGGTCTTTAGAACATTAAGTAATGCAAGTGCTATGTCTCATTAACCTCCTAATCTGGTCTTGCTCATGTCAGGAGAGATGGTGTCTCCAAAAGTGGAATAACCAGATCTGACTTTAACGCTTAAAAGATTATTTTTGGTTTTGACTTGATACTTGGAGCAAAGTGCTGTCAGAAAGACAAACCACCCAACTCAAACCCCTAGCAGTGCCCAAAGCAAATGTCTGCATGACAGCTTCGTTTAGCCTTGCCTGGACAATATATCGCAGCTGTATTCTTTTGCCACTTGATCCATTATTTTCCCCCAAAGAGTGATATCATTCAGATCTTCAGGGACAGGCACACATTAGATAGTCTGATGTTCACAACAGTACCCAAAACAAACCCCCTGGGCTGGCTGCCCTGGCTTCCATCAGGATCTTGGGGCATCTCGCCACGCTGCGTGGCCATGGGTGCAAAGCTTATTACCAGCTCGCAGAACAACCACAAACAGCCCAACTGCATTCGGGAAGGTGCATGGCATCGCTGCTACTGCAAAAGTAGGACAGATCTCCCAGAGAGCAGGAAAACATAGGGGGGAAAAAAAGCTTGCAAAGGAAAAAAAATTTTGTGTCATGTTGGGTTCAAGTATATTACTAGAAAGACCAGAGGGGGGAAAAGAGGGAGAGGATTTGCAAGGGATATGCCATATGCACCTGGCTGCATCCAAAGGGAAGGGCTAGAGCACGTACATCAGCACTGGCCACAATAAACAACCCAGCAGTGGAAAGAAATAGCATGAACAGATCTTCTACAATATAAAAAGTTTTGGTTACCAAGATGATCAGCCTAATATTTGCATGGAAAATTCATGCACATTGTTAGGCAGTTTTTAAAAAGTTTCCACAATCCTGTGAAGTTGGGCCCTCAGTGAGAGATTACAAACATATGGCAAGTCCAAGTCAATGCTGCAGACAATAAACCAGCTGAGAGCGCCTGGCCCAAGCAGCATACAGCTGTAATGCTTCCTCATCTCTCTTACTCTCAGTTAGACAGTATATGGATGACACACATTTGTCTAAGCTGTCCTTGCCACTTAGACCTTCGTACTGCCTTTAACCATGTTTTATTTCACACAAATATCTGCATGCACACAGCCCAAGCTGCATTTAAGCAACTAAAATGACAATAAAACTCCAGCTCTTCTTCCAGCTACCTCCCTGTGCTCCGAGAGGTTCAAATCAGCCAGCTCCTACGAGCTCCTAAGCTGCCTCCAACATTTATTTAGGGAGGAGAGGGGGAAAAGGCAAAGACAAGGGGGAGGGGATGTGAATTCCAGACTCCTGACATCAGCCCGGTCCCTATGCCGGGTGTGGGGGGATTTGAGCCTGGCTCACAGCACTGCACATAAACCATCCCGTGGAGAGCGGCCACGGTGGGGCCGAGGTGTTGGCAGGAACAGAAACATCTGCAGAAGAATCCACCGTCAGAAAGCTCAGCTGCTGTTACGACAAAAACCGCGTGAGCATCGTCTCCTTTGGCGAGGGAGCCAGTCGTGGTCATCTCGTAGGAAAGCGTACGGTGCCAGAGGAGTTAGTGCTGCTCGTTGTCATGATCTTACAGCTAAAATTATGCAGTGTGTTGCCAGGAAGGACGTGCAGAGGGAGCCAGTCGTGGTCATCTCGTAGGAAAACGTACGGTGCCAGAGGAGTTAGTGCTGCTTGTTGTCGTGATCTTACAGCTAAAATTGTGCAGTGTATTGCCAGGAAGGACGTGCGACATGAAAACAGAAGATTTCACCAGCTCTGATTAACAGAATGACACCACTTGCAAGCCATACAGCAACCGCTTGCGAAAGCTCCTGCAGCAGTTAGGGCAAGGTGATGGGCATTCAAGGGATGCTGGGCGTCCTGCAGAAGCAGCCGGCTGGGCGCTCAGCCCCTGCTCGGAGCCCCCTGAGCAGCTCCCCCCATCAGCAGTGCCCTGGTGCAACGCTTCCCATCTGTAAGGGATGATTCAAACACCTGCCCGCCGCCCCGTGCTGCTGCGAGCCTCCAAACACACCACCACACAACTCCTCTTCGTTTTGCAGGAAGATCCTCTGTACCCCCGTGACTATGATGGATTAGGTCAAAGCGAGATATTGAAGTAGAACAACAGCCTGGGTATTGCACAAACAAACTGCAAACCACACAGGTAGGTAACCAGCAGGAAATAAATCTGTTCACGGATGTGCACGAGCATCTCACCTCTGTGTCCTCCTGAAGTCGAAGGGGAGGCGAGGAGCCAGCTGAAGCCCTACGGACCACTCACGCTGCACTTCACTAAAAGCAGCGGTTTGAGTAGGACTTCAGCAGCACAAAAGTCTCCAGCCCTTTCCATAAGGATGAGCTTCACACAGGAGCAGCTCTTACTCCTGCAGAGCTAATCGGTTTATTTATTTCCCCTTGATTTTTCAGCCAAATCTAAACTCAGCACTCTCCTCTTAGGAGCTATAGCAGCATCGTGCACAGAAGGACAGAGACCGGACTGACCAAAACCAGGCCCTACAGGGTATTTCTTACAAGCTTACACTGAGCTTGGCCTTCATCCGAGAACTGAATTAGCTGTTGCTTTATGAAAGCTTTTTTTTTTTTACTCGCTATTTTATGAATAACATGGCTATGCAGCGTTACACACAGGATCATTCTTTCACTCAAAATGCACAGGGCTCCCCAAAGAGACAGGCAGCTCCATCCCTGCTGTGCTGGAGGAGGATGGCAATAGACCTGGGACACAAGTAGCCAAAGTTAGACCCAAAATCAGACCAGAGGCTGCCCCAACAGCCTGCACCCAGCAGCATCTAAAGCCCTTGAACAAGACCAAAAGGAGAGCGTTCCTTCCCAATTTAACAGAGCAGAGATGAATGACTCGCTGATGAACCGAGAGTGGGAAAAGGAGGAATTAAATCCATAATTCCTCCATGTCTGTCCGAGGCTTTAACCACAAGAGCAATCCTTCTGTATTAACCTGATTCCTAATTATTTAATTACCTGTTAAACCCAGAACAGAGGCAGCTAGTATAGAGTTTATAACTCTACCCCTGCTCGGCAGTAGCCAATAGCCACCTTCTCTTTCTCACACATCAATATTAAAGCAAATCACGCCTCGTTCATCGAAACAAGCTCCTCGGCTTTGGGCTGGGCACAGGCTCCAGCCAAAACAGGGTCAGTGTGGCCATGCCCTGCTACCCTCCGCCACAGCCAGACCGCCCGCTCGGACTCAGCTGTGGGATGCAGGAGCAGAAATATCCCCAAGGATCTCGAAAGGAAACCAGAGCATCATTAACACCCGAAGGTGAACACCGGGGCACGCCGAACGCCCCTGCCTGTGCGCAAACCCCATTCCCAACACAACTGGGTTCTTCATCCTCACCTTTCCTTTCCCTGACTGTTCTTTAAATCAAATTTTAAGAGGAAAAGAGGTCTTAAGCCTGACTGATCCTTTGGGACATGTGCAATAATAAACAAGGATTTTTTTTTAAATGCCACTACACTCGCTAGTCACAGAGCAGAAAGGGGACAACCAGCCCTTGTTCAGCGACTGCAGCGAACGTCAGTTCAAGACTTTTTCCATACGCCATCTACCACACGACCACTACGCAAAGGTTAAACAGTTCAGTTTCTCCACCAAGCTTGGTATTACGCTCAGACTCTCCTCATTTTGTCTTCCCTGGCCAAGGCGTTTGCTTTGCTTTC